GCACACCTTTACCAAAAAAACAATTAACAATTCTTTAGAATTTTAACTGAATTAACATGTCCACCTCGCAGAAACAAGGCAGTTTTCTTAGAACAAATTATTAAGGGAAAGAAATTACTTTTTTTACAACAAACCTAAACAGTATCTGATGGACCCCAAAACGATATGCCTTTGTCAGCAGGAACTTTGGTAGAATCAACCCAAACTCCTTCCCTCTTCTCTAACCAACTTTTGTTCCCAACGTCCTCTAGCCTGCCTGCATCCATATCTTTTCTTAGTTCATCCTTCAACTTTCTTAATGCAAGCTGGAGCTGAATTGGGTCTGATGAGCCCCCAATTCAGTTATTAATTTCAAAATTCTGTACTACGCACATGCTTGGGTGCTATGAAATCTACTAAAACTGAATCCCTTTATATCGAAGCTGTAGAGCCACCCATTAAATATAGAATAGAATACCTAAGTCAAAAATTTCTCGTTAAGGCATTCTTACATAACTCAACCTTATTTTCTGAAATTATTCAACTTAATACGTATGATCTAACAAATAAATACTGGATTCATAAAAACTCACCGCCATTATGTAAAGCTGTTCAAAATTGTGAGATACCGCTCGATTCCCTAGGTTCTTTCGACCAATTCTTCATTACATCCGACTTTCCTTGTTTCTTTACTAAAGTCTTACTTAGACAACCCAATTATGATGAAAATCCTCATAATTGCTCAAATCTACTCCTTTGTAACCTAAATGACTTTCCTGAACATACTGTTATATACACCGATGCATCCAAGGCAGACTTAGGCACTGGTTGCGCCTACTACGTCCCGTCTCTGCATATTAAAGCTCTTTACAAATTACCTGACAATTTTTCTAGTTACACTGCAGAAGCGATTGCGATACTAGAAGCCTTACAATTTGTAACAGAATCTAACACTAAAGCAGCTCTAATTGCGTCAGATTTCTTATCTGTTTTAAAATCGGCTGTAGCTCTGGATATTCCTAATTTTAATTCTAATCCATACATTCTCTTGATCAAGAAGGCATTGTTCCAACTAATTATTAATAACGTAAAGATATGTTTTATATGGGTAAAAGCTCATATTGGGCTTAAACACAATGAATATGTTGATATGCTAGCAAAATCTGCAATAAAAAAAGGAACCAACACCGATCATAACATCTGTAGCCCAGATATTGTCGCCTTGATAAAATCCAACAATATGAGAAAATGGAGGCATGATTGGTCACAATTCTGTTGCACTTATTCAAATCAGTACACTAAAATTCAAAGACATATTCCAAACTCACCCTGGTTTAAAAATCATATAATTCCGAGACACTACATTACATCTTTAATTAGAACCAGATTTGGTCATGGCAGTTATCCCAAACACTTATTTAAAATTAATGTAAAAGAAGATGAAAATTGCGAGTTTTGTGAAACAACCGGAGACCTTAATCACGTTTTCTTCGAATGCAAGAAATACTCAGTACATTCAAACACTCTTTATATGAATCTTATAAAAAATAACATTCCATCCCCCTTAAATATTGAAACAACTTTAACACATTTTTCTGATGATATTATCAACTGCCTCTTACAATTTCTGAAAGACACTAAGATTCGTCTATAATTGGAATCTTAATCTTGTTTCCTCTGTATTTTACCTATTTGTTTACCCTCTTACCGAGGCCTAATTTTGTTTGTCTATTAAAAAACGTCCTGATGGGTCCCTGGACGAGAAGCGAGTGTCCCCGTCCTATATTGTTTATTTTTTTTCTTCTTCTTACACCTCTTGCTGTTAGGAAATATCCTTGGGTAGTTCTAATTATGGACGAATCTGTGTCTGGCTGAATGGCAATGTGCCTATGCCAAAAAAAAAAAAAAAAAAAAAAACATGTCCACCTCAATGCAACCAAAAAACTGTTTGTTTGACGTTTCACTGTGTCAAGACAACAAGCACCAAATTTTTGTTTCCATGGCCAGCTTATCAACTATTGTGTTTACTTTGAAATAAACCATGTTTTTTATGCAAATTGGTGAAGTTGCATTCTTGATTTTTTTCCGTGTTTTTTTCAAAAAGAACCACTGTGCGACGACCTGAAAATAATATTTGGATTGGTTTTTCGATATTTAAGGTTTACGGACAGTAAAGGTATTCCTATAAATTCATTTACAATAAAACATATTTACCTGTGTTTCAATTTTGTGTCTAGTTAAGTATATTATTCTTTTTAATCCACTGATTCTAACCTTACATTTCGTTTCTACAAACGAATATACAAACAAAATGTACTAGTTAGACTCGGTAGAAATTTGATAAACGATATTTACATAGTTTCTCATCATTAGAATACATGTGTTGAATGAATGAAATCTTCACTAATATTAGATTGATCATTTTGTAATGATTAATGTTTTTGATACTGAATTTGACATGCTTTATAATTAAACTATTAAGTTTCTCCATTGAAAATTTTGGATATTTATTTCACTTTAATTTCTATAAGTTGGTAATACTGGAACAACTGGCGAACATTAACCGAATTTCCAGGTCTGTCTTAAACAAATTGATGATATCTGGAATTTGAAAATACAAAAAATTAGGCATTAAAAGCAAAAAAAAGGAATTTAGTGAATTTAGTTTTAAAGCTTGCTATAAAGGATTTGGCGTCATCATTTATCGTATTAAATATCCTAAATTACGGACCACGAAAGTAGATAGACAACCTATGTATGGGACCACATAGGGAATTCAACGTGTAAGAGTGAGAGGTACATATTCAATGAATAAGAGTGAGACAGACGGTCTGAGAGGAAAACGGGGTAGTGGGGGGAGTGGGGGGATTAAATTTCGTCGAATAGAATTTTTGCGTAGTGGTAAAGCCAAAAGGGCCTTAGCGTATATCTCAGCTATCGTTGGTCCGATTTAAACGGGAAAAACGGCATTATGAAGAGAGCGTGATATAGATTAACATACAAGAGAAAAATCATGCGCAATGACAGGACAAAAGGACCTTAGCGTATATCTCAGCTATCGTTGGTCCGATTTAAACGGGGAAAAGGAGGTTATATAGAGAGAGGGATATAGAATAACATACAAGAGAAAAATCATGCGCAGTGGCAGGGCAAAAGGACCTTAGCGTGTATCTTCACTGCTATTGGTCCGATTTAAATGGGGAAAACGGCATTACGTAGAGATCGTGGTATAGATTAACGTACAAGAGAATTTTTGCGTAAAGCCAGAAGGGCCTTAGCGTATATCACGTGGGCCGATTTAAATGGGGAAAACGGCATTACGTAGAGATCGTGGTATAGATTAACGTACAAGAGAATTTTTGCGAAAAGCCAGAAGGGCCTTAGCGTGTATCACGTGGTCTGATTTAAATGGGGTATGTAGAGAAGCATTAACGTACAAGAGAATTTTTACGTAAAGCCAGAAGGGCCTTAGCGTGTATCACGTGGTCCGATTTAAATGGGGAAAACGGCATTACGTAGAGATCGTGGTATAGATTAACGTACAAGAGAATTTTTGCGAAAAGCCATAAGGGCCTTAGCGTGTATCACGTGGCCCGATTTAAATGGGGAAAACGGCATTACGTAGAGAGAGGGATATAGATTGACATACAAGAGAAAAATCATGCGCAATGCCAGAAGGACCTTAGCGTATATCACGTGGTCCGATTTAAATGGGGAAAACGGCATTACGTAGAGATCGTGGTATAGATTAACGTACAAGAGAATTTTTGCGTAGTGGTAAAGCCAAAAGGGCCTTAGCGTATATCACGTGGTCCGATTTAAATGGGAAAAACGGCATTATGAAGAGAGCGTAATATAGATTAAAGTTGAAAAGAAAAAATCATGCGCAATGCCATAAGGACCTTAGCGTATATCACGTGGCCCGATTTAAATGGGGAAAACGGCATTACGTAGAGAGAGGGATATAGATTGACATACAAGAGAAAAATCATGCGCAATGCCAGAAGGGCCTTAGCGTGTATCACGTGGTCCGATTTAAATGGGAAAAACGACATTATGAAGAGAGCGTGATATAGATTAAAGTTGAAAAGAAAAAATCATGCGCAATGCCAGGACAAAAGGACCTTAGCGTGTATCTTCACTGCTATTGGTCCGATTTAAACGGGAAAAACGGGGGGTTATGTTGAGAACACTGAAAAGTTTGACGTTTGACGACTGACGTTTGACGTTTCACGTTTGACGTTTGACGTTTGACGTTTGACGTTTGACGTTTGACGTTTTTGACGTTTGACGTTTACCGTTTGACGTTTAACGTTTGACGGTTAGTTTCTGCTAGTATCAAGCGTCAAGGTTAACAACCCAGATCTCCGAGAGGAGGCGTATCCTACATCCGACAAGTAAAATAAGTATTCAGTATTGAGATGTCTAGCGAAGAGAATAGACGCAAAGAGTTTGGTATAAAAGTTCAAAAACTAAGAAGAGACATAAAATTATATGAAGATAAAAAACAAGTTTTAAAAGATTTGACAAATTTAAGTCTTTGGGAGGATATTGAGAGATATTATCCTAGACCACTTAGAAGAATCCAACCGACGCAAATATGGCCATCTTAAAGGCTAATTTCATTATACTTACGGCTATATTAAACAACGTACTGTATACCAATGTACCGTTGGGCGTACAACAGATGGCGATACGTTTTGATAATCAAACGGAATGGCGAAAGATGAATTTCTCGGTGGTAAATAATATGAAGCTAAATACGTTTTCCATAGCAATCGATGAAGCAAAGAGATACAAATTAAAATTGATTTTTAATGATGGCACTGAAGGAGAATTCAAAGATTGGCATGCTGTTACGACTCCACCACCACCACCACCGATCGATTTGAGTGACATGTCAGAGCCCAAATATTCTAAATTATATGTAGTTAGTTGTATAACACTATCATCTACTTTGTTTATAATATTGAAAATTATTGTAAAAATTATAAATAAAAATTTTTATTCTTCTTGTAAAACGAAAATAAATGCATGAAATTAATAAGGGGTTTCAATTAAAAAATTACAAAGGTATGCAATTAAGAAACCATTGGCGTAGACTTTCGACGTTCTTCTGGGTACATTTAAATGATCCATTGGCGTGGTACATGCAGGTTTTGGAGTCACTACTGAATTTTTCTGTTGCACACGGGGTTCCATCGAACTTGCATACATCTACTATTATAGGACGTGACACGTGACAATTTTTTAGTAAAAATTCGGCTTTTTCACTTCCTCGCACGTAAATACAATCAGCATGGTTTAGTAAATATGTTTCCAGAATCGAGTTTAACTTGGAATAATCCACGTCTCCAGAGGAATAGCTGACTCCATGAATATGTTTCTCAACATATCTAGCGCTAATTCTATCAGGCGTATTTAGGTTAGAATAAGGTGTAGGCGGTGTGAACAAAGCGTGGTATTGTTTACAACCAATTGCGATACTCAATTCCTTCGGATGAAAAATACCGTATTAACCTTGGATGTCAACGAATGCGATCCTCATGATGACAGAAACGAGACTGAATTAGAACTACTTTTTGACACGCCGTGTAGGAATATCATTTTTTAAAAAGTGTTTCATGTAGAGTGGGAGAGCGATTATATAAATTGAAGAAAATCAAGTTTGACATCCTCAGTTGTTTGTAGTCAATCTGTAAAAATGTATTCTCAAGATTCTGGTTACGGTTCAAGTAGTGAGTTTGATTTTTCGTTACAACCATCATCACCAACACCATCATCGGGGGCGTCTGAAAAATACGGTCGTGAACTAGATTCTCTATTAGAGAAGTATGAAGAAGCAGCTAAGAACGAAGTTCATTACCTACTCTACACGCAATTCCTACAAGGTTCCTATCAAATTGGGTGTGGTCTTAGTCCAGCGAGATCGTTTACTCCCGCTGTTGTTATACAAAAAGGACAGTCGGAAAAAATATCGTTTAGTTCCTATGAGTGGGAACAATTAATAACCCTACTTCAAGACAACAATTTTTTTAACGAGATTGTGGATCTTCCTGATGAGTACGACGGTATTGAGTTTCAGTGTGGTGATTACTGCAAAGTTCGACAAGTGATCTTCGAAGATACAAAGTTTATTATCGTAAGCAAACACAATATAGACTTTTGGTTAACAGAACAAGATGTTATGGAACTTGTTGATTTAAATAGGCAACTGTTGACATCATATGTGTTAATGCTAGAGACTGTTCAATTTCCACAATATTACTATAAAATTCTAAATATAATTAGAAGTAGTTTTAATGATAAGAATTATACATTTTCAGGTGCTTTTCATAAAATGCATGTATTTAAAAATTTAGATTCTAACTTGAAAAATGTTGCATTAGGACAATTCATTTATTTTTATAAACAAAAAATTGTAAACGATTTTGAAAGAATTTAATAAATATGTTTTTGTTAAAAAATTATTTTGTTTTATTTAAAAGAAGAAAAAGGTGAAATAGTCGAGACGGTATAATAGCGCTTTTCGATTTTATTTACCACAATATTTGTCAGCGCCTTACACCGTTCGGCTATTTCCACTTCTGTCTGAAGCGTTCAAAAACATCGTTTTTACCATTTTTTTTTCTACATTTACATCGTGTTCACCACGCTATCTATCAAAGCTGAACTGATAAATTTACTTACTTTAAAAGTTATTAAAGAATTATTCTATATCTAAAAAGCTTACATCTAAAAAGGCAAGATATAAGTTGGGTTATTTTTCAATAAAATTTTCATACAAAGCATCTGTTACCTCATTTAAGTCATTATTAGGATATTAAAAGTGAGAAAATTTTATTGAAAAATAACAGCATCCAATAAAATAGTTTTTAAAAAGTTAATCGTTCTTATTGACAATAAGTCGAAACGTCCGGAATGTCCGGATTATAACAAGTTTAAACTCTAACAGTTTGTAACAAAAGACAACTGTCAAAATGGTAATTATGACATAATCTTTTAACGTATACGATTTAACAAAAGCCTACCTCTGTAGAATTTTGTGATCTTATAATTAACAGGCATCATAAAACATTTATAGAGGTACAATATAAAAATACTTAAAATAATTATACAATAAAAAAAAAAATAAAAGTGGACTAATAATAGGCTTAAAAGTAGTAATCATAAAATTAGGGATATCTAAACACGATTGAACCATGCATTTCACCAAGACACCAGTTTTTGTAAATAGTTATTTTATTGGAACAGAATGTCGAAAATTGTCAGTTTTGTTTAGCAAAGCGAAGTTTAACCTTTCCGCTTATAATTTGCTAACCTTTCCGCTTATAATTTGCTAGTGTATAAATGTAATTTAATATTCTAGGCCTAAAGGGCCGTAATTCATAGTCGAAAAAGTGCAAAAGACCCTAGTATATATAAGTTAGGCAAAATATGTGCAATATCTCCTAGCAGTTTGTACGTCTAAAGATACATTGTATATTGTATTTGAGTAAAGAAAATAAAAATCTATTTTTGCAATTTTTCAAACGTTTTCATAAAAAAAAAAAATATATTTTCATAATGGTTAGAATTCAAGAAGTTGACAACCGCAGATAAGTAAATCATCGCATATATGCCCGTTGTTGAAAACACGGTAAACCGCAACGTTTGTGGAACATTGTTTTTATAATAATATCTAGATATTACAATCTATAAATAAATACCAAGACCTTTGTAAATATTTTTTGTTTAACAGTTTTCGTGAGTGGAAGTGAACAATAAAATTTTTGTTTTGTAGTTTATGTGACTGGTGACTGTACACCAGGTAAGTTGTAATCGTTTTTTTTGTTTATTAGATGTTTTTATTTAGGAGATGAATTAAAAAATAACGTCACTTATTTAATTTTTTTTTCTTAAACAGTAACCTATTTTAGATATTTTTGGTAAATAAATAACATCCATAGATTTTATAATTAGATGACTATCGAAAGTAGAATTTTCTAGAACCTTGTAAAGTAACTGTAATATATGGTACACAACACGCATTTGTGGGCATTTGGTTTAGGCAATATGATAATTCTGTTACACCCTGAAAATATTACAAAACTATCTTCCTAGAAGAATTAGAAATGTATGGCAACTTAGTTGCACTCGATGATAAATACCCTAAATATTATATATAGTGTTCTTGCCAGGTCTACAATTTCATAGTGAAAAACTCTTACAATATCTATCACTAAAATCAACACGATTTTTCAGTCAAATGTTAGAAAAACTTAATGTTTTTCATGACAATATTTTATGCTCAGCTTCGTTACATTTTCCTAGGACTGTCAGCAGATGATGCCTCACGTTTTCGTTACATTGACGTACACATTTATTTTTTTTTTCAAAAGAGAACATATATATTATAAATATAATAAATTTATAAGCAAAAGTTTATACGTTATTTAACTAGAATTTGTTTTTTTTTGGTGTATCCTAGCGATGTAATAAAGCTAGAATTAAAAAATGTTAAATTTTCTATTATGAGAGATAAAAGTTTTAAACTGTATCCGTTCGAAAAAGTCGAGGCTTTGATGTTTTTATGAACAACTTTTTGAAAACGATATAGGCGATCAGAGCTAGTAAAATGCATAGAATATATCACCGTATCACGCTATCACCGAATATACCTAGATATATTCCATGTTTTTTTTTTTTACAGCTGCTGATTGTTTCGATAAACTATGATTGGTGAATTTATAATAAAAACAGTTGCTTTTTAAGTAATTACAAAACTATGTAATTGCTACTATTGGTTGAACAAAAATTATTTATTAACTAAAATAATAGAAAATAAACAATATTTGTCCATAACAGCAGAGCGACAAGAACGCTAGTAGCTTTTCTGCCAGGAAAGTTTAGGATCAGGAAAGTGTGAAGAAAAAAGGTAGGGTATACATAAATAAATAAATAAATAAAAAAAAATAAAATCTTAATGTTTTTTATTCTGGGTTGATACTGAAAAAACAAAAAAATCATTTAATTATTGTACATAAAATACTTACAAAATATTTACCTCTACTTGCTTAGGCTCTGTAATAAACAAATTAGTTAGATAATGAATTTTTACAAACTATAAGACTTACAAATATAACGCCCACACTAAAACCGCCACCTCCGGGGCAGGATCATACCAGAGGCTATACCCCTGGTATGTCCCCAAGCTCATGAGCCCCGGGGGTTGGGCGTCGGGGGCTGACGTGCCCCCCGCCAAAATCATTATGGGTTTGTTCTGTAAAAAGCTGTATATAGTACTCATAATAATTATGGGTATACTTTTAACTTACTCGAAGGGACGGTGGCAACCGCCCTTTAATGATTGGAATTAGCGTGTCTACAACCAATAAAAATAGCATTTGAATAGAAAAAAAAAAATCTAGCTATCATAATAGTAATACTTACCCATTCTAATTAGGTATGAAAAATATTATTATGATAGCTAGATTTTTTGTGCCTACCTTTTTATAAGTATACATTCTACGTCAAAAAGCGATACCCCTTTTTTTAACCGCATACAGATGTTTTGTTAGTTTTTCACATCATATTAATTTACAGGACCGCACTCTCAATTTTCTTCAAGCATCAAGAAGTTTTGGTAACTTTTTGATACCTTTGTGGGACCTTTGAATCATTATTGTTATATGTCACAGAATTAACAAGCGAAAACAATGGAACCTCCCGCTAAACTTGTACGAGGCTACGAAAATTTGCTGGGATATTTAGAGGGTATGTATACAATTATTGTAATAATTATCACTGTCGTCAGAGACATATTGTAACATGGTGAGTATGAAAAATCTGCGAAATTATATCCTATTGTTTGGATAGTTCTAAAATCTAAGCGCATGTCTTGTTAGAAAACTATAATACCCTGTTTACTTAGAATTTTCTAAATATTTACCTATTACAACACTGTTGATTGTGGTAAAAGTGTATCCTGATGATATAAAATTCCAACGAGCTTTTTCTTCTCACAAGAAAATTTTAAATTCGGAAATGGTTATTAATTATCTGTTTTTATCAAATCTTTGAGGCTTATTTTACACATGCACTTGCAGTTCTTAACAGGATATACAACATTGTATGTTATCAGCTATATATTTGCATCATATTAGAACTGCATTTTAGTAGGTATTTAAAATAACTACCCAAGACAATAAATTATTCTACTATTTTAAAAATGACGGAATGTGAATATTTGATGCGTATATATATTTCACCCCAATATATCCCTTTAACCTATGTTTGTATTACCCGACCGTATCGAGTAGACAATAAAGTGATTATAACGATTCAGATTTCGGATCATCTAATTATTTATGAACAATATTTAAACGAAGGATTTTCTGATGGTGATGTTCTCCAAGTACAAGTGTTTGTTGAAGATGTGCTGTTTTACGCTTACAATTTCTATTGTAATGACGATACATACGCTACGGCATACGAATATTTTTTAAGTGGGTATACCGAAACAAATATAATACCTACTATTTATGACTGTGTTCTCTGTGATCTCCAGTTTATGGACTCTTTCCACATACAATTTCAATAACTATTTTAATACCAGCAGTGCGCGAATTTTTGCCCTAAGAGTTTGGACCCTATTTTTAATTACTAAGCTTCATGTAATGTTTTTTGCTACGGCATACGAATATTTTTTAAGTGGGTATACCGAAACAAATATAATACCTACTATTTATGACTGTGTTCTCTGTGATCTACAGTTTATGGACTCTTTCCACATACAATTTCAATAACTATTTTAATACCAACAGTGCGCGAATTTTTGTCCTAAGAGTTTGGACCCTATTTTTAATTACTAAGCTTCATGTAATGTTTTTTGTGGTTGGGACTGGCCGATAAGTAGCTCTGCTTCAACTCTAGCTCCGAAAAATGGAAGAAATTAAATATTTTGGGGTAGTAAAAAAAAAAAAAAAAAAAAAAAAAAAAAAAAAAAAAAAAAATAAGAAATTTTAATGGCGGTGTTAATGCATTTATAAATCAGTGGTATAGACAGAAACAGGTGTCATGCTATATTTTATACCACAACAACATACCGACCTCATTCGTTTTATTATGGATTATATTTATACTTTGGCGGAACACCGAAGAAGAGGCTTCACAGAAAAATTATTGCTACACCTGAAAACAATTTTCGACCTTTTGCTGTAACGAAGAATCTGTCTCTTTATTTACAAAGTGTAACTGTATTAATTACGGTGTTGTAAATGGTAGATGATATGTTCAGGTATCCGTAATAAACATCTCACATAATTTGGAAATATGTCTTTTATACGCGTTTTTGCTATTTTTTTTTTTATATTAGTCATATTTTCCGTTATAATAACTGTAACTGCTACAAAATAAAGTACGCTTGCTGCGTAAAAGAAATGATAAAATGTTTCTAAATTTTTCTCTAAAACAGGTATTTTTGAAAATATTATGAGCTTTTTGTGAAATTTTATATTTAAATATACCTTTAAGTAATTTTTAAAATATCAAAAATTTGTTAAATTTTGAATACATCATATGTACCTTTTCTACAATTTCGATTTTGGTTGTAAAATATTGATTTTTGGTTTTAAGTATAAAAGTCATAACTATTTACCATGTTTTCAAGGTTTGCGTTTTTTTGTAAAATTTTATATTTGAATATACCGTTAAGTAAAATATCAAAATTTAACAAATTTTGAATACATCATATGTACCTTTTCTTCAATTCCGATTTTGGTTGTAAAATATTAATTTTTAGTGTCTAAATTTTGTATTTGAGTATATCCTATGTAACGAGTCTAGAATTCCGATTTTGGTTGTAAAATAAATCTAAATAATTAAATGGAATAAAATACTCTTGTGTAAAATAAGTCTCAAAGATTTGATAAAATGTTTTTAAATTTTCCTCTAAAACAGTCATAATTATTTCATAATTATTTTATTTTTGAAAATAATTATAAGTTTTTGGTTTTAAGTATAAAAGTCATTACTATTTACCATGTTTTCAAGGTTTGCGTACCGTTAAGTAATTTTTAAAATAACAAAATTTGCTAAATTTTTTTTTTTTTTTTTTTTTTTTTTTTTTTTTTTTTTTTTTTTTTTCTACAATTCCGATTTTGAGTGTAAAATATTGAACTTTAAATATATGTCTAGTAATTTTAATATTTGCGTTTTATTAAACTAACATTTGCACTAACATTTTTTTTTGACATCGTAAACACTAAGATTAGATAATTGTATACATACAGAGTTTTTTACTCATAAATGCTTTATCAACCAACAGATACTATTTCTTGATGTGTGAAGGATACACCCTAGGAGAGTTCCTCTACACAATCGGCTGTTTGACATCCTCTCTATAGCAACATAACATAACAACAGGACTTTATCTGGTATGTGTACATTGTTTTTTTTTATTAAGGATAAAGAAAAGATGATGTCAATATTATGCTAGTTTGATATTTTCTATAATTTTTTATTGTTTACATCAACGATTGCCGCCATCTGGGATTACCGACGTTATCCAACCGCGAGCTAACGTTATCATATTTACTGATACGCCAGACTTCGATTCTCGACGCGTGACGCCCCCGTAAAAAATAGCAGAATGAACCTCACGATTTCTTATGGGATTTAACATGGGGCTTGTTTTAAAACTGCCGGGCTAAAGGATCTGTCAAATTTAGTGATGGAGGATCGTTCCCCCCAGATTTGAGGAAAATAGACTCGCTTTTAGTGATAAGATAATACGATTTCCATTATTATTTGAAAAATATAAAATGTAATTTTATACGTTAGAGCTTTGTTTTCTTGCGCGCCGTTATTACTCTAAGGGATCTCTCGAAGCAGACTGTAGTCTAACGCTATTATTTTTTTTTTTTAATTATTAAATGTGTCGCTGTATGTCGCGGTTCGATTCCAAGTCAACTTTTTAAAGTAATAAATAACTTTATATATAATTTTCTATTGACATATAATTAATTTCGATGAGATCCAATAGTTAAATTGAATTAAAAATGTCGGATGGTTGTTAGGTCACGTCAAATCGTTAGGATAACAGTAGACCTTCTTACTGGACACTGTCGCCTCAAAAGGCACATAAGTGTCATACATCCAGCAGAAGAAGCAACTTTGTGTAGATTCTGTGAAGAAGAAGAGGAAACATCATTCCACGTCCTGTGCCAATGTGAAGGCTTGGTTGGAATGAGGTTCCTAACATTGGGCGAAGAAAAGCCAATTGCATGTAACTACATGCGGAAGCCCCTGTCAAAGCTACTAAGTCTAATAAAAAAGACCAGGCTAGACGACATACTCTAAAACAAACGGAGTCCCACAATAGATCTGAAAAGGTCGCGGTGGATAAGGACAAATAACGTCCGACTCCTAATCTAATTTAATCTAGGTCACGTGGGAGGTGGGATAAGCGATTCTGTGAATCGTCATCTGTATGTCTCTCAGTGACTTAAATTTACATTCATGATTTCCTTGACAATTAAACGCTAGGATTAGGTATGTGAACATTTTCAAATGTTAGAGTAGTATTCTTCGTCCATATATCAAGAGTCTTCTTAGCTATTTCAAACGTCCTAAAACACATGTCTGACTCATTGGTGGATATTGTTCAATATATTAAAATTCAGGAGCCAACCGTTTTTCAGAATGTTCAGGTTCATCAACTTCGCTAAATTCTTCACGGGTACTACCTTCATCATCTTCAACTATAGTGTCTATCGGTATGTTTTTTATTTTTTGGTGTGGCGATGAGACGCTTTTCAGAGTGAATGCAGAGAAATCCTGATTTGTCAGTTCTGTTTTCGGTTCAATGTGTTCTTCCTTCTTAATATTATTCTAGAAAAACTTTTGAATGTTTCGTAGAGGTTCGGCAATTGGTTTAAATAATCTATTAATAGATTCATTTAAAAATAAAATTAATAATTTTTGAAACAACATCAAGCACTTAAAGTTAATACTACATTTTGCGGTGAAATTATCAAAAAATCTAAAGATAATGAGATTTTAGATCTCAAATATTTTAATGTTATTGATAATGATAAATCACCTGAAATAACAGAGTGGTTTAAAGATAATGTTAAAGATAAAATTTTAAATGCTGCATTTGCGATGTTTCGTAATAGGCTTTCATAAATAAGTAGCAAAAATAATGTTTCATAGTTGCACGAATGTTAATTAATATATAACAAAATTCAATAGAATCAAAATAATCACATATACGGGGGTTATAGGTGAAATATGCTTTAAAAAAATTATTATTGAGAATGTATTAAAACAAACGAGTATACTCAATTAATTTTAATATTATTATTAATTACAGTTGTTTTCATTTTAAAATTTTTATTTTGGTACGCCTAAAACGCATTTCAGCCAAATCTATTTGCCATAAATCATCCAAATCCTTAATAATTGTACGACGTCTAGAATAGTTTTTGCGTGCAGGTCGAAGCAACTCGCTTCGAATCTTTTCCCTTGACATGATAACTGATGTAAATTAAGGTGTTGCAGTTAGTTTTGAAATTCTTGATTGTAAATCGTTGATATTCAAGTCGATTTCTGAAAATTGAACATTTGCAGTTTCACGTAGTAATAATAAGTCCTTTTCATTGGTTTTCGTTATTTGATTGGTGCTTTGTAAAGTGTTTTGCAATACTTTTAGTTCATTTTCATTGGTTTTTGTAATTTGATTAATGCCAAATAGATTTTTTTGTAATAATCCCACCTCTTTTTTTACATCATCAATTACGTCATTTGGAACTATATTAATTTGATTGTTAAGCTGCTCAATATTTTTTGACGTTAAATTTGTAATATCAGTAATTTTAATCAAAAGCTCATCACGTAATTTTTTTAGATCTTCATTATACAGGTGGTGTAATTGAGTTTGGATTTGATTTATATCAGAACGCAGAGGCGTCAACGTTTTTTCAATCTCTTCCAAAACTGTATTAAGTGATTGTATTTTGGTATTATATTCGTTGTCTGTGTCAGTTTTAATTTTTGCTATATCACTACGAAGGAATCCTTTGTTTGTTTTAATTGTATCATCTACGTATTTTTTGGTTGCCATATGTTTACCTGCTGTAGGTGGATTTCTCGATGTAAATGTTTCAAGTTCCTTTGTTTTACTGCTCATAACGTTCACAATATCATTTAACTTGCTGATATTTGAATTTAGCGTAGAATTTTTCATATCAAAAACATTTTTGAATCTGCTTTCCAACTGCGTTATATTAATGGTTGGAGCACCATTACTTTGTCGTCTACGTCCAAACTTATCGAGACTCATGATGAAAATGATTAAATAATATGTAATGTACTCTAATATATGATATCTGCTTCTCGAAGTTTGTCGATTATTCTAGTGATTTCGTTGTTTACCGAAGTATTTCCTGCATTCTTCGACGCCATCAACAACTTCAATCGATCGCAAAGTTCGTTAGGATCATCCAGGTAAATATATTCATTGTCTTCTTCATACAATCTTTCCATGGGTTTTACACGTCTAGTATTCCCCGGTATTTGCTTAATGTTTTGCCTATCATTTCGCATGTTTCGTCTTCGTTCAACAGCATTTTTAAAACTTTTAGATTTTGTCTTATTTTTAAATAGAGGTCTAGTGATTGTGCCAAATTTTAATTTGTCACCTTGATGCCTCAGATGTCCTCTTGAATCAAGATGAGCGCTAGTTATATCCAAAATTTGTTTGTAAAGTTGATGGTCCTTAGGAGTAAAATTTGTTGGTTTCTTAGAAAATAATAATTCATATAAACCAGGAGTAGCATTAAACTTGGTATCACCTAGAACTATATTATGTTTATTAAATTCTAGTTCCTTAGTACCCATTAGCCATTTATTATCTATATAAACAGGCCCATAGCAGTTATCATAATCGATACATTTTTCGCCATAATTTTCTAGATATTCGTTGTTTTCGTTTACTTCAGCTATTTCTTTCAAAGGTTCTATCACAGAGTTTAGAAAGTTCAATTCTTTTCTATCAACTTCCATTTTCTTCAGGGAGTTATACTTTTTTCGAATAACACGTCTAAGTTCTACAATTTTTCGTTTACGTGCTACATCCACCGACATCTTTATAAAATCTAATGTATTTTTGTGGTAACACCCACTAATTTATACTGTGGCCTTTACAGTCTTCGACTCCTCTTCAGAGATCTTCAGATGTCATCAGAGGTCTTCAGAGGTGTTCAAATGTCTTCGGAGGTCTTCAGATATCTTCAGATGTCTTCAGAGGTCTTCAGAGATGTTCAGATGTCTTCAGGTGTCTTCAAATGTCTTCAGGTGTCTTCAGAGGTCTTCAAATGTCTTCAGATGTCTTCAGATGTCTTCAGATGTCTTCAGAGGTATTCATATGTCTTCTGTTCCAATAAAATAACTATTTACAAAAACTGGTGTCTTGGTGAAATGCATGGTTCAATCGTGTTTAGATATCCCTAATTTTATGATTACTACTTTTAAGCCTATTATTAGTCCACTTTTATTTTTTTTTTTATTGTATAATTATTTTAAGTATTTTTATATTGTACCTCTATAAATGTTTTATGATGCCTGTTAATTATAAGATCACAAAATTCTACAGAGGTAGGCTTTTGTTAAATCGTATACGTTAAAAGATTATGTCATAATTACCATTTTGACAGTTGTCTTTTGTTACAAACTGTTAGAGTTTAAACTTGTTATAATCCGGACATTCCGGACGTTTCGACTTATTGTCAATAAGAACGATTAACTTTTTAAAAACTATTTTATTGGATGCTGTTATTTTTCAATAAAATTTTCTCACTTTTAATATCCTAATAATGACTTAAATGAGGTAACAGATGCTTTGTATGAAAATTTTATTGAAAAATAACCCAACTTATATCTTGCCTTTTTAGATGTAAGCTTTTTAGATATAGAATAATTCTTTAATAACTTTTAAAGTAAGTAAATTTATCAGTTCAGCTTTGATAGCGTGGCGTAAATGTAGAAAAAAAAAATGGTAAAAACGATGTTTTTGAACGCTTCAGACAGAAGTGGAAATAGCCGAACGGTGTAAGGCGCTGACAAATATTGTGGTAAATAAAATCGAAAAGCGCTATTATACCGTCTCGACTATTTCACCTTTTTCTTCTTTTAAATAAAACAAAATAATTTTTTAACAAAAACATATTTATTAAATTCTTTCAAAATCGTTTACAATTTTTTGTTTATAAAAATAAATGAATTGTCCTAATGCAACATTTTTCAAGTTAGAATCTAAATTTTTAAATACATGCATTTTATGAAAAGCACCTGAAAATGTATAATTCTTATCATTAAAACTACTTCTAATTATATTTAGAATGTTATAGTAATATTGTGGAAATTGAACAGTCTCTAGCATTAACACATATGATGTCAACAGTTGCCTATTTAAATCAACAAGTTCCATAACATCTTGTTCTGTTAACCAAAAGTCTATATTGTGTTTGCTTACGATAATAAACTTTGTATCTTCGAAGATCACTTGTCGAACTTTGCAGTAATCACCACACTGAAACTCAATACCGTCGTACTCATCAGGAAGATCCACAATCTCGTTAAAAAAATTGTTGTCTTGAAGTAGGGTTATTAATTGTTCCCACTCATAGGAACTAAACGATATTTTTTCCGACTGTCCTTTTTGTATAACAACAGCGGGAGTAAACGATCTCGCTGGACTAAGACCACACCCAATTTGATAGGAACCTTGTAGGAATTGCGTGTAGAGTAGGTAATGAACTTCGTTCTTAGCTGCTTCTTCATACTTCTCTAATAGAGAATCTAGTTCACGACCGTATTTTTCAGACGCCCCCGATGATGGTGTTGGTGATGATGGTTGTAACGAAAAATCAAACTCACTACTTGAACCGTAACCAGAATCTTGAGAATACATTTTTACAGATTGACTACAAACAACTGAGGATGTCAAACTTGATTTTCTTCAATTTATATAATCGCTCTCCCACTCTACATGAAACACTTTTTAAAAAATGATATTCCTACACGGCGTGTCAAAAAGTAGTTCTAATTCAGTCTCGTTTCTGTCATCATGAGGATCGCATTCGTTGACATCCAAGGTTAATACGGTATTTTTCATCCGAAGGAATTGAGTATCGCAATTGGTTGTAAACAATACCACGCTTTGTTCACACCGCCTACACCTTATTCTAACCTAAATACGCCTGATAGAATTAGCGCTAGATATGTTGAGAAACATATTCATGGAGTCAGCTATTCCTCTGGAGACGTGGATTATTCCAAGTTAAACTCGATTCTGGAAACATATTTACTAAACCATGCTGATTGTATTTACGTGCGAGGAAGTGAAAAAGCCGAATTTTTACTAAAAAATTGTCACGTGTCACGTCCTATAATAGTAGATGTATGCAAGTTCGATGGAACCCCGTGTGCAACAGAAAAATTCAGTAGTGACTCCAAAACCTGCATGTACCACGCCAATGGATCATTTAAATGTACCCAGAAGAACGTCGAAAGTCTACGCCAATGGTTTCTTAATTGCATACCTTTGTAATTTTTTAATTGAAACCCCTTATTAATTTCATGCATTTATTTTCGTTTTACAAGAAGAATAAAAAATTTTATTTATAATTTTTACAATAATTTTCAATATTATAAACAAAGTAGATGATAGTGTTATACAACTAACTACATATAATTTAGAATATTTGGGCTCTGACATGTCACTCAAATCGATCGGTGGTGGTGGTGGTGGAGTCGTAACAGCATGCCAATCTTTGAATTCTCCTTCAGTGCCATCATTAAAAATCAATTTTAATTTGTATCTCTTTGCTTCATCGATTGCTATGGAAAACGTATTTAGCTTCATATTATTTACCACCGAGAAATTCATCTTTCGCCATTCCGTTTGATTATCAAAACGTATCGCCATCTGTTGTACGCCCAACGGTACATTGGTATACAGTACGTTGTTTAATATAGCCGTAAGTATAATAAAATTAGCCTTTAAGATGGCCATATTTGCATCGGTTGGATTCTTCTAAGTGGATACTCTCAATATCCTCCCAAAGACTTAAATTTGTTAAATCTCTTAAAACTTGTTTTTTATCTTCATATAATTTTATGTCTCTTCTTAGTTTTTGAACTTTTATACCAAACTCTTTGCGTCTATTCTCTTCGCTAGACATCTCAATACTGAATACTTATTTTACTTGTCGGGTGTAGGATACGCCTCCTCTCGGAGATCTGGGTTGTTAACCTTGACGCTTGATACTAGCAGAAACTAACCATCAAACGTGAAACGTGAAACGTCAAATGTGAAACATCAAACGCAAAACGCCAAACGTCAAACGTCAAACGTGAAACGTCAAACGTGAAACGTGAAACGTCAAACGTGAAACGTCAAACGTGAAACGTCAAACGTCAGTCGTCAAACTTTTCAGTGTTCTCAACATAACCCCCCGTTTTTCCCGTTTAAATCGGACCAATAGCAGTGAAGATACACGCTAAGGCCCTTGTGGCATTGCGCATGATTTTTCTCTTGTATGTCAATCTATATCCCTCTCTCTACGTAATGCCGTTTTCCCCATTTAAATCGGACCACGTGATACACGCTAAGGCCCTTCTGGCTTTTCGTTCTACGCAAAAATTCTCTTGTACGTTAATCTATACCACGATCTCTACGTAATGTCGTTTTCCCCATTTAAATCGGACCAATAGCAGTGAAGATATACGCTAAGGCCCTTCTGGCTTTTCGTTCTACGCAAAAATTCTCTTGTACGTTAATCTATACCACGATCTCTACGTAATGCCGTTTTCCCCATTTAAATCGGACCACGTGATACGTGCTAAGGCCCTTGTGGCATTGCGCATGATTTTTCTCTTGTATGTCAATCTATATCCCTCTCTCTATATAACTCCCTTTTTCCCGTTTAAATCGGGCCAACGATAGCTGAGATATACGCTAAGGTCCTTTTGTCCTGTCATTGCGCATGATTTTTTCTTTTCAACTTTAATCTATACCACGATCTCTACGTAATGCCGTTTTCCCCATTTAAATCGGACCACGTGATACACGCTAAGGCCCTTCTGGCTTTTCGTTCTACGCAAAAATTCTCTTGTACGTTAATCTATACCACGATCTCTACGTAATGCCGTTTTCCCCATTTAAATCGGACCAATAGCAGTGAAGATATACGCTAAGGCCCTTCTGGCTTTTCGTTCTACGCAAAAATTCTCTTGTACGTTAATCTATACCACGATCTCTACGTAATGCCGTTTTCCCCATTTAAATCGGACCACGTGATACGTGCTAAGGCCCTTGTGGCATTGCGCATGATTTTTTGTTTTCGACTTTATTCTATATCACACTCTCTTCATAATGCCGTTTTTCCCATTTAAATCGGACCAATAGCAGTGAAGATATTCGCTAAGGTCCTTTTGCCCTGCCACTGCGCATGATTTTTCTCTTGTATGTTATTCTATATCCCTCTCTCTATATAACCTCCTTGTCCCCGTTTAAATCGGACCAACGATAGCTGAGATATACGCTAAGGTCCTTTTGTCCCGTCATTGCGCATGATTTTTTCTTTTCAACTTTAATCTATATCACGCTCTCTTCATAATGCCGTTTTTCCTGTTTAAATCGGACCAACGATAGCTGAGATATACGCTAAGGCCCTTTTGGCTTTACCACTACGCAAAAATTCTATTCGACGAAATTTAATCCCCCCACTCCCCCCACTACCCCGTTTTCCTCTCAGACCGTCTGTCTCACTCTTATTCATTGAATATGTACCTCTCACTCTTACACGTTGAATTCCCTATGTGGTCCCATACATAGGTTGTCTATCTACTCACGAACCCTGAGAAATTTATTATAGAAAAAAAAAAGTAATTATATAAAATTAAAAATAAATAATTTGATTGAAGGGCAAGTAATCTTAAAATTGAATCAAATAAAAAAAAAACAAATTATTTCAGGTTTTTTTTTTTTTTTTTTTGATAAAACAAATATACAGGGCACACCAAAATTTAGTTGAATTTAACAAAAACAGAAATTTTTCATTAAAACAAAAACCGGGAATTTATCTTAATTAGTGTTACTTTTGTGAACATATAGATGTGAATTGTTATTAATTGTTTTTAAAATAATTTGACCATGTGCCCTAACGTAAAATTAAAAATATAATCTTTTTGGCTAACAGGATTGTTATCAACCATTTTTTGTCTCGTTTTGTGATGTACCGTAATTTTTTATTAATATAATACCACATGTACGCAACGATTCTCACTGAGTTGTAAGTATATGTCTTTTCAAAATTGTTTAACTTATAACCTTTATAAAAATTAATATTGTAGCTCCCTGAAGATGAACATAATCATCGAAAGCTTGGAATAAATACTTAAAAGAGTACACATTTGTAAGATTTTTGCTGAAAATCCCAAGATTCCTTAGTTTATATATATATATATATATATATATATATGTCAAAAGGCAGTTTTGAGGACGAAAAGTAGTAACTAATGGCAGATTCGAGGACATTTGGTGCTTATGAGGTCGGTCCTCATAAGATTTTATGTATAATGGCATGTTTGGAGACTGTCCTCATAAGATTACATGTAGATAGGTTGTTTTAAGGACATTATGCTGTTCGGCGTTTTTGAGGACAATAAATAAAAAAATTACCTTAATCCAAGGTTTTGTGGTTAAAAAATGCGAATATTATACAACTTTTTTTTAAACTTCTTATTTGAAGTGAGGTATTTAAATATTGATTGGCATATATGAAAATATTGACTTTGATTATAATATACAGTGTATCTTAAAACGATTATGAAACATAATGTCGATTTTAAGTTCACTGCCCTCAAAAACGCTTTTTTGCAAAAATTAATTAAAATTCATTTGCGGTAGTACTTTTTGTAGTTTAAACGGCATTTAAAACACAATTTACTAAAATCGTACAATGTATCGTAATCCTGCGATTTTGAGGTTGAAAAATCCCAATCTAAAGTAATATATAGGTATTTAAATATGGAAGGCCATATATGGGGGCAATGACTTTAATAAGATACAGTGAGTCTTAATACGACTATAGAAAAAATTAAGCAAAAAATAATGTCAGATTTGAGTTTACTGACCTAGAAAGCGCTTTATTGCAATA